TGTGTGTGTGTGTGTGTGTGTGTGTGTGTGTGTGTGTGTGTGTGTGTTGCAGCTCGTATCACTCAGCTGGTTCGGGGGTTTTCCAGCACGTGGAAACAGTCGGTGGAGTCGATGAGTCAGGACGTCATGAGGTCCTTCACCAACTTCAAAAACGGGACCAGCATCATCCAGGTGAGACGACGACAACAACAGCTGCTGCTTTTGTTGAGAAGATATATTTATCGAGAAGATATTTTCAGACTTCACGTCCGAAACACGGAACTAAAAGATGTGATGCGTCGTTTTAGATTTAACTACCAAACATTAAATATATTCTCAGAAATAAAGGCGCGAACCAGAACCATGAAGGGTCCTTTGGCTTGTTCTCAGAGGAGAACCCTCTTTGGGTAAAGGTTAGAGAGATTCATTCCAGAAACTTTACACCTTCTAAGAATCCACGAGGGGGTTCTACCGAGAATCCTTTTATATTCCAAAGGTTCCACCCAGAACCCCCTATGGAAGGTTCTACAGAGAAACTTTCTATGGTGTAATGGTTCCACCCAGAACCTTCTCTGGAGGGTCTATCCAGAACCTTTGCACCTTCTAAATGTGATTTCTTCATAATTCAGTCCAACAAACGACATCAATCCTCACATTTCAGAACCTGAAACTAGTAAAGGTTTAATTAAGAAATAAATCCCCTAATTACTTAGACTATTGGTTTGAATTGGTAAAGTCCGGGTATCACACTCTTATTAGTTACATATTCATATTAGTGTGTGAGAGGAAGCGAGCGGTGCAATAACTTCCTGCCTGTGCTGCAGGGCGCCCTGACCCAGCTGATCCAGTACTACCACGGCTTCCACAAGATCCTCAACCAGCCCACGTTCCGCAGCCTGGCCGTCCGCTCGGAGCTCATCAACCTGCACCACCTCATGGTGGAGGTGAAGAAGCACAAACCCAACTTCTAATGGGGGGGGGGGGACGACACCTGGAGGCCCTCCAGTACCTGTACAGTCATTAAGTCGTATCATAGTCCAGTTAACAAAGTCACTGAATGTTTGTGTTTTATTTCACTTTATGTCTGAACATGTGAGATAACAGAAGATAACTGTGATGATGATGCAGCTACTGCTGCTCTGTAGAAAACACAACAACTAGTAATCAGATAATCAGAGTTCGATTTGAAGTTCTGATCCTGAAGATTTCAGTCCTGGTGTGTTTTTAAGCGGCTCAGGCGTGGCGGACCCCGCCACCAACCGTGAAAAGTACTATTCAAGATTAATGAGCCGACCATAAATAATGATTCAGATCTTCAGGATTGTGACTTTTAAAACAAATCAAAACACTGAAACACTGAACAGAGAAACGTGGACTTTCATCATGAAACAGTTGAACAGACGTGTTTGTTTTTATTTAATCTGCATTAATAAATCATACGCTGATAAGATTTGCTTTGTAACATTCATAATGCTGCACTAGTGAGAAGCTCTCGCAGACATTTCTACTTGAAACAAAAACAACGTAGTTCTGTGAGACTGAAGGACGAAGCTGCTGATGTTCTGATGGGTTCCTCGTGTCTTAAAGAAAAGCAGCAACATGTGAGTCCGTCTCTCACTTCTGACTATGAACAGGTTTATAGTTTCATGTTTACTGTAGGTTTTTATCAAACGGGAGGAAGTTGTGCATTTGTTTGGGGACTATTTTCATCGGCGGATGAATCCACGTTTGGTGCTCTGGAGTATTTGAAGCACAGAGCGAGTGAATCTTGGAAGTCGTTGTGTTGATCCGTCGGTGCAGCGTTCAGTGTTTTGTGTGTGTGTGGATCAGTGTGAGACATCTGTTTAACAATGAAGAGATGCAAACAGGACACGATTGTGTTTGCTTCTTGTATTCTCATTTATTTATTAGATTGTAGTGCGAGTTGAAACACAGAAACATATTATATCATTATTTTTAAATAATTACAGTCGCATCGCAACAATTAACATCAAAAAGGATGAATAACAATCACAGAACGGTTACTTTATATTACTTTTGACCCGAAACTGTTGTCAAGAAGACTGTAAATGAACCTGGTTGGTTAAAATATGCAGAAACACCACTCTGATAGTAGAACATGAAGAACATTAAGTGTGAGTTGATCTGTGTAGACGTGAGGTCAGCTTTGATCTCTACAAACCAACCAGCTTCTAACGCAGAACATTAATTACATCCTCATAGGAGACACATATAAATACATACGTGTGTGTGTGTGTATGTTTGCATAGGTGTGTGCGTATACATACGCACACACGTATATAAGGATATATTTTTTCCAGTCTCAGATTCATCGAGCACGATGTCGTTCACATTTTTAACTGATTTCTCTAATTTGAGAAGTTAACACTTGAAAACCTTCAGTCCTTCATTCTGAGTTCTTCATCATGAGTTCATGAGACCGTCCCTCACACATCACTCCATTAAAGAGTGTTGTGTTTGTACACGTGTATGAACTTGATCTGGACAGATTGGATAGAGGATGTATTTAGTGAGCGTTGGAGGAGCCGGTTGGTGCGTTTCTGAACTTCACATAAAGCCAGGCTAGCTGTTTCCCTCCGATTCCAGTCTTTGTGCTAAGCTAGGCTAACCACATCGTGACTCTAGCTTCATATTTAACAGACGGGTATGTGAGTGATGTCATCTAACTCTCAAATAACTAAATAAGATTTCCAAAAATGTAGAATTTTTCTTTTAAAACAAATTATTTTGAGATCAGTTCATTTTATCTTTGTCGACGTCGGAGTGTTTAAAAAAAACAAACAAACAAAACTTTTCTTCACTTAAATCACATTTCAGACACTCCGTCACTCTCTCTTAACTTACAGTCGACTCAAAGACAAACACCTGACTCATCAGAAACACCTCTAACGTTCAGAAACACCACAGTCTGATGGAACAGTTATCATCTGCTGGCTCTACTGTGTCGGTAGCTGTTTATATGTATACACACACACACACACATACTGTGTGTGTGTGTGTTTATATGTATATACACACACACACACACATACTGTGTGTGTGTGTGTTTATATGTATATATACACACACACACACACATACTGTGTGTGTGTGTGTTTATATGTATATAAACACACACACACACAGTATGTGTGTGTGTACACACACACACACACATACTGTGTGTGTGTGTGTGTGTGTGTTTCATTTGCAGAGAGGATTGTAATCAGAGGAGATGAATAATTTGGAAACTCGTGACGAGAACAGAGAAGAGAAGAGCTGAACAGCTGCTTCTGACAGCGTCATCTGGAAGACATGAGGGTGGAGACAGGAGGGTTACTCCAGGTCAAGTTTATCTGTATTTCTCTTTAAAAACACTTTTATTTTCACGTGAACCATCGTCGGGTCCGGTTCCTGTGCCAGAATATGAAACGGTGTTTTCTCTCACCTGTCAGCGCTTGTTTCTCCAGAAGCTGGTGGCGTTTGAGAGCTGTGGAGTTTTCTGTGAAACAGGGAACAGTTAACGTCAGTTGGTATAATTCAATAATTAAACTGGCTTGAGGGAAGATTATATGCAAAAAAATACTCTTAAACTGTCAACCAGGGTTGGACCCAAAGGTCAAATGTTCAACTTCAGAGAACAGGCCTGTCCCTAACCCCTCTGCTCTCTGTTAGTCTGTCAACGTCCCGCCAGGGAACGAAGATTACTATCATCTTAAACGTGGGCACATGGGAAAAATGGGGGGGGGGGTGCAGGACAGGTGGAGTGGAATGGAGGGAGCACAGGCTCTGCAAAGACAGGAAGGAGTTCACGTTTGGCAAAACAGCAGAGAGCAGATGAGGCTCAGGTATCAGTCTGACATCATCTGACGGGAAAAGATCCGTCTCTATTTAAAGTTAACAAGGCCAAACATGAAGGAGAAGAGGAACCTAACACAACTAAGTCTGTGTTTTAAATCCGTTTCCTCGGTGGACTTTAAACCACCAGATTTGTCCTCCCCATGTTCAGGTTTAACGTACAGATGCCTCCATGTTGAGCAGCGAGAGAACACTTTGAAAGCTCTGGACCAACAATCCCTGAACAGCCAAAGATCATCACTGCACACAGACGTACAACAGAGAGGATGGAGCCCTCACCTTCCACCGAGAGCTGCACGGTGCTGACGGCGAGGCCGCGCTCGTCCAGGACTTTGTAGATTCCTTCGTCCGAGCTCTTCAGCTTCCTCATCCTCAGCTGCTCGTTGACCGAATGCCTCTGCAGACGCTCGCTGTCTTCGTCCTCCCTCTTCCACAGGACCGACCACTCCGAGCTGTTCCTGTGGAGCGAAGGTCAGAAACTGTTTGACCAACATGACGTTTCATCTAATCCTGCTGAAAGGTTTATACAGTCAACAGAAGGGACCAGAGCATCATAAGCCGGACTCATGCAGCTTTCTGTGTTCTCTGAAACAAGCAGTTCGATGTGTAAATGTGTAAATACGAGCGTTTTAATATGACGTCAGACATGAACTAAACTAAACGGTCCACGACGAGCTCACATGGCGTAAACATCGGCAGTTCAATTACAAGATGAGATCTTTGGAAAGTTCTCCGACATCATTTCAACTTTTTCCAGAACCCACATTATCCGGCCTCTATTTAGCATTTCTTCTGTTTTGAAGGCAGACTTCATCGGGTGACTCATAACTTCACCAGCAACCTGTAACGGTGTCGGTTTGATGCAAACAGTCATTTCGTAGAAGTTGTTTTTATAGGGGGAAAAGAACAATCAGAATGGGCGACTTGAGGGCGGACGAGACGAAAAGAGAGGACGAGAAGAGACGAGACGTGAAAAGAAGAGAAGAGGAGGAGGAGAGAAGAGATGAGGACAAAATAGAAGAGAGTATTCGTGATTGAAGGTTCGGCTCACCTGTCCTGGAAGACGACTCTCATAGAGTGACGGGTGTAGAGCTCCAGGACTAAGTCCTCACCTGGACCTCGAGACTGGAAGGATTTGTGGTCTGAGAGGGAAAAATAAAACCAAAAGATCACAGACGTCAGATTTGTTAAAGTAAAGCTGAACGATAATTTAATATGATTATTTATCGTCTGTCAGTAGAATCGTACAAATCACGATTCTCAGTCACGTCGTCTAAATTGATAAAAACAAGCAAATATTAACCAAAATATCTCAGAAAATTATTTTGCATCAAAGTTCTTAATTCACACAACAGTATACAAAACAATGAGGTTATTATGAAATGCATGATTAGGGTTTATTATAGAGTTACATGAGATGAAGAGATGAGATAGAAACAGAAGTAGAGTCGATGGAAACACGAGAGAAGAAAGAATAAATTATGAGGATTAACGACATGAGAAGAAAAAGAGAATAATTCAGATGATGAAACCAAAGAATAAGAGGAAAAGGAAACCTGAGAGAACAATAGAATATAAACTAAGAGAAGGATAGAAATAAATCAAACAGAGTTGGAGACACTGACCGAACACGGACAGCTTGACGCCCTGGATGAAGACCTTGGTCTTCATGGCCATCATCCCGTCCACCACCATGAAGCTCTCGTATCTCCCCGAGTCTCCGATCTGGACGTCATTGATGATCAGAGAACAGTTCCCGGACCCCAGCTTCTCCTCGGGAACCTCCACCCGGCCCTCGAACTCCTCCGCCTCCCACTTGTCGTTCCCGTTCATCTCGAACACGGTGTCGGCCGGCGTCGCCCACTGGACGTGGCAGGCCGACGGGGTCAACTGGAGGCGCTGCTTCCAGCTGCAGGGAAGGACCGCCCGGTTCCCCACCTTGGAGGTGACGGAGAGCAAGCGGGAGGACGAGGAAGAGGAATCTGGAGGAGGAGAGACGGAGGAAACACCTTCTCAACCACAACTCGTCAAACACGGCAGCTTGTTCAGAGTCCTGGCGTCGGATATTTCAAAATAAACTTCTGTTTTCACAGGAAAAAACTTGGTTCACTTAAAGCAACAAAAGTGCTTGGTCAGGTTTAGGGAAGCTTGTAGTTTGGGTTCAAATAAGTACGTTTGTTACGTAGTTTAGTAGCTTTAACATGCGTAACGTGAGTTCTGACTTAAGTTTAGTACGTTATCAGTTATCGGAGTGGGACGGATATAAATATTTCGAAAAGTTTGTGCTCTTAGTTACAGAATGTGACTTTACAGAGTAAACATTTCCCGAAGAATTAAACATTCAGATCTAATAAAACATGCTGATATCCAAGTCCTTCATACTGTGACGCTGACCTCGTGCAGTGCTTCCACCAGAGAGACATTCCCATCTCAGATTAATATTTAAGGTCCTAAATGTCAACTATTCTTTTCTTTCCTCTCCCCCATTAATCACCCCACACACACACACACACACACACACACATTCATCCGGTGACCCGTCGCGGCGGTCTGAACGGACCTGAAGTTCAGCGGCCGGATCATTTACAAAAATGTGATTTATCTTTTACAGTCGATCTTTTAATATCAGTTAAAAATGAATCAGAAACGGTGCGTCACAATAAAGCGTGCAATAGTATCAGACGTCATTAGAGAATGTTTGAGTGGATGATATGAAACATCAACAGTCCACTGCTGTATGCATGACATGGTACGATTGTTCTTGTTACTTGTGGCTTTGATTGAAAGATGTTGGAGTGAGAACTCAGCAGCTGTGTTGAGACTAAACAACGGTTCATCTTCTGAGGACACAGAACTATAATTAAATCTCTTAAACGTCGGGTTTGAGAGACGCTGTGATTCATGTGTTCATCACAGAATGATACTCACCAACTAAACTGCCAACCAGAAAACAGTGTAGAGATATGAGAACCCTGAAAAACAAGATCACACAAACGGAACAAGTGAACATGTTGTTTAAGGAAACAGACAGAAGATCAAATCAACCACGTTCTCATCACAAGAGTTTTATTATATAAAAAACAATAAGAAAACATTCAGAATTCCATCTGAATGATTCAGAAAAACAAACGGACATTATTGAAATGTGAATCTTTATTCAGTGTGGGCGGAGTCACTCAGATCTTTCGTAACTATTAAATATGTTTTCAATATAGAAACCTGTTTACATAAGTTTGGATAGGACTGAATATGTTTGTTAAAAACAGGATACAATATAAAAATATGAAGCCATGAGACAGGGAGCATTGAGATGCTTATTCTTCATATATCTATTTAAATGTATCATTTATATTCATATAGTCGAACGAAAGAAAGTATTTAGTTTATTTATTGTTATTTGTTCCTATTATTCTGTTGTTATTTGAAACCATGAAGGAACCAGTGAAGATTGATAAATCCTTATTCTATTTATTTAATTTATTTATTTTATACTTTACATTGATATGTACATTGCTAGTTTAGTTGTTGTGCTTTGTTGTTATTATTCTGTAATGAAACTTAAGAGTCAGTTTCACTTCTCACTAAGTTTCGTTTTCTTCCAAACGCAACGCGCCTCGCGCTCTTCTCTGCAGCGCGCGCTGACCTGCTGAAGAGAATCTGATTTAAAATAACGCTCAATAAACCGCAAATGTTTTTATTCTGCACACGTTCTCCATCCTGCAGCCTGTCACTTTGTTCATATTCATATTTAATGAAACAACAGCTTGTTCTTCGTGAACATATGAGCAATAATTCATAAACATAAAATCATCAGATACTGAAAATCCCTATAAAGGAAGCTTTTAGTTTTCAAAATAAAGTGTCGTGTTTCTCACCAGTGTCGCTTTGTGACGGTCTTCATGATGACTGCTGTTTGGAAACTTAGCTCAGTCCTCTTCTCTCTCCTCCACGTTGTCTGAAGTCTGTTGATATGCAGCGCTGAGGTTACTCTCTATCAGCTGAACGACACTTCCGGTAAGAAAATAAAAGCACCTTTTTTTTTTTTTTTTGCTCAGTTAGAATCTATGAGTGATACTGATATAAACAATATATAATAATAATAATCACAAGGCCTTTATTTCTTTTATGTTTTGGTTCAGTTAATGTTTTCATCAAGTGTTTTTGAAATGTTTTTTTATTTGTGTTAGTTTTAAATATTTGTGTAACCTCTTTTTCTTTTAAAGTACATAATATGATTTTATCTCAATTAGCCTATAAGCTATAAAAAAATGAAATACTAACTTCTCATTAGTTCAGTCAAAGATACATAACGCTTTAACAGGCCGGCTAATTAATTAGATCAGCAGTTTTATATGTTATTTGAAATGTTTCTGTGTGGAAAGTACATGTATGTTGTTTTATGACAGAATCAAAATATTTTAATAATTATTCTCTTCTCGAACATCCCTTGATAGAAAAATCTATTTGTGATTTTTTTTTGTTGAAGAAAATCGTTATTCTACGTTAATATGAATTCAGGGGTTGAGGACAATCATAAATGAAGATGGATATTTAACTTGTTCACTATACTGTGATTGCTAAACCAACTGAATATTTGTTGTCACGAGATTAAATGAGAACGAGGAGCGGTTGTGCTTTTATTTTGTAGCTCTTCCCGGTCATATAACGTAAACAGATACTAATTGACGGATTTCTGCAGAAACGAAACGTAGCGGCTGCAGATTATTCACTGACTGAGTGAGAAGTGTTTGTTGAGTGGAAAATCTTCATCCTTCCTTTTTCTGCACACATTCAGATGTTGGTGGTCTCAACTGTCTACAGTCCTGCTGCTCAATAAAGTCCCCGCTCACTTCCTCCCACTGAACTCACTGGTGTCTCTCTCATGAACCCATCAGTCCTGCACCAAACCTGAGGATCTTAAATCACTGAATGATGGCCGGTGTCACACGGATCCTCACTTTCATTTGTAAGTTATTGATTGTTTATGTTTAATGGCTGAGGTACGTTTGAGATGAGAGGAGGATTCATTTGGAAGTTGTTGTTGTTGTTGTTGTTGTTGTTGTTGTTTTTGTTGTTGTTGTTTCATATTATTTCTGGGTTGTTTATTTTGTGCACGCTCATGATACTCAGCTGATAAATCAGGTGGTTGTGGTGAAGTCATACCTTCTCAACATGAAACTCAAAACTAAACTGAAAGAGCTGTGCAGGTCCGAGCATGACCTCTGGGGTTCATGCAGACTGGTGTTTTAGGGTCAGATGGTCTCGAGCATTAAGAATAACTATACCAGTGGTGGGCCGTCAGGGCCTGCAAGGCCTTCTCTGCTGGCCTAAACAGAATCACAAAGTTATATCTATTTTATAATTTAATAATTTTTCTTAAATACACTACATGTATTATAATTTATAAAAATATTTTCCCCATTATCTTATTTTCTCATTGCACAGCTCCTGTCTTCCTCAGTTGCTCTGCTTCCAGTGCAGCTTGTTTTAAGTAGAGCTTTTATCCAATCAGATCTCACCTCTGTGTCTCTAGGTAAGAACAGATGCAGAGGCCTGCAGACTCACAAGTGAATCCATGTGCAGTTTAAGTGAATGGGGACGATATTGTTGATTGTCATAGTGTTCAAGCAATCAGATCTTTAGTTTGACATGTTGGGCGTATTCTTTGACGTGTCAGCACCTGTGAGCCGGCCAATAATGACATCAGCATTACATGCAGCTCAGTGTCCATGTGCAGCTCTGCTGCGAGGTGCAGAGTGTGCTGTGATTGGTCAGTGGGCGAGCACGTGACTATCGTGAAACGAAACTTAACAGCAGAGGCTTAGTCGGGTAGTGAATCACATCACGTGATGCAGCTCAGCCAATCAAATATGGGCATTCTGACTGAGTGAGATGTACCACACACCATGACACAGGGGACTGAGACGAGGAAAGACACTGCAGAGCAGTACGTACAATGTTCAAGTTGTGAAAGTAAAATCATAAGATGATCTCTTTGGGCCGCAACTTGTCATTAAGGAGTGATGGTGGGTCCCACAGCCAGACCAGCTGAGAACCACTGTCCTCCATGAGCGCAGAAAACATTATATTCTCCTGAATGTAAGCTTCTGCATTTTCCAGATGCTCTAGTACTATTCAAACGTATTGCAAGTCTCGTACCGAACGTTGCGTACATTTAATACGTACATAGTTACAGCCTTAGAAACTGATAATAACTGTGGCGCCATCATGTGGTTATAAGGTGGTATTTCAGCTGCAGGACAACAGTGAAGGCCTAGGTATAAAATGCAGGGCCCGCCACTGCTCTATAGAAATATACCATCTTCTCTCTTATGGTCTCTTTACTGATGGAGGTCTGATAGAGGATCAGGACTAAACGGGGACTTATTCAGGAACCGTTAACAGTTCCTTACTGTCACTTTAAAGAAAAAATAAACAACAACATGGTGGCGGCCGTAAACCAAGATGGCGACGGCGAAATCACCGAACTCGAGGTTTCAAAACATCAGACCACAAACCAATGAGTGACGTCACCATGACTACGTCCACTTCTTATAAACAGTGTGTGGTTAAACCATCGTGTGTCTTCATCGTGCGTCTCCATCGTAATGTTGTTGCATTGAGATCTCCCTTCATTGAAACTAAGAGGCACAAACCAGACCAACAGGACACTTTGTACATGGACCCCATCTTAAATATTGTATATATTGTTCACTGTAAATATAAATGTCTGACGTCTCCCCTCACCTGTCCGGCCTCCTCAGGTGTTGCAGGATATCACCTGTCCTCAGCCTCGCCCGTCCTCCGCTCGGCCCTGGTGGTCCCGGCGGGGGGGAACGTCTCGCTCGCCTGCAACCTGACGTCCAGCTCGGAGATCACCTGGTACCTTCTGCGCTCGGATCAGCTGCTGCCCCTGCTGACAGTTGCACCGACTAAGCTGAAAGATGTTACGATCAACTTTCACACGGCGGACGACCGCCGCTTCAACAACAGGGGCGACCCGGAGGGAGGCCCGGTTCGCCTGGAGATCCAGCAGGTGGAGGAGAAGGACGCCGGGCTGTACTTCTGCACCGGCCGCTGTGAAGGAGCTGTGTGTGTTAACAGAGGAATTCATCTGGCTGTTGATGGTAAGAAGGAGTTTTATTTAAATACTGTTTATGTGTGTTCTAATTGTCGGGCGTATTCAGACTGAGGTGAAAATAGTAGAACAAATACTTCACAAGGTTCATTCCAGATAAAACATTGTGCTTGAAAACAGTAGAAAGAGTCTTTAAAGTTGTATTCTTTGAGTATAACAAATGTATTTTTAAGTCAAATACAGATTATTCAGGATTAATGGGAGCAGGAAAGATCCTTGGATACCTTTCAAGAGCTGATATTTTACTTTGTATATTCAAGATTCAACTGTCGCGGGGGAACATAAACTCTAAACTCTAAACGGGTCGGACATGACGTCTCAGCTCGCTGTCAAATAAAAGGTTTTAGGGCACTGACCCTTTAAATAAAGCCATAGTTATGATATCAGTTCGAATCAAACATACCTGCTCTGAAAAAACAGGGAACAAGGTCTTGAACTTATTGAATGATTTTCCTCCTAAATTTCCCTTTTAAATGTTAAAAGGTCTCCATTGTTTATGTGATAGATTGAATATATTGTGTAGCAGCTGCAGTCAACTCTTCACTGGAACTAATGAATCATGTTTCTGCACCAAAACATCGAGAATTGAAAATGAAATTAAACAGGGAAATTTTCCAGATGTCTGGTTCGTCCTTCTAGACATTTCCCCAGAACCTAGTTGGTATCTTTGGAAGAACCTCCACTATAATCTGAAATACTTCAACAACATTTGTAAAGATGGACGCAGTTAAAGTGAACCATTATGACAAAATCATCCCTTTTGTGTTAACTTCAAAAATCACAAAGAAACTCTTCAACTCATTAATTCACAGAAAAACTGATGATAGACTTGAAAAAGTAACAAGTTGAAGACTGATGAAAGGCGGCTGTGGCTCTCAGCTGAATTGAAAGTTATGAGCACATTTCCGTGGAAAGCAGACGTTTCTTCTATTCTGATGGCAACCATGACCGGTGGTTTTGGGTTTGCAGGAAACATGTTTTTTGTTTAGTCAGCAGTGGTTAGCTTGGTGTTGACGTTGCCTGATAAGGGGGCAGCACTCTCATCCTGCCTTCACTGGGTGTCTAGAATAGTTTTTATTGATCACGTTAATAACCAAAAAAGAGTCACATCCCCCAATTATATTTACAAAATATGAAGCGAGATCCTGCTGGTTGTGAGTTTCATGTTCAGTTTGGGCACGCCAGCCGTGACTTTCACTCTGCTTTTGTATTTCGACATGTTTCACACAAAGTGTGGAAGGTTTCAGCTGCATGAAAACAGCCTTTAGCTTCATGCAAAATGGTTCGTTTGGTGTTTCTCTGTGGTTCACATGCAAATGACTAGAAAAGTGTGCAGATCTCCGCGAGGTGTGTCGGCAACAACCACGGCTGTATTGTGTGACTGAATGGATACAACCTCTGGAAACCATCGGGCTGTGAGGTGTTGTAAAACACACTTCAGCAGCGATGCATGCAGGCAATCTTACATTTCTTGTCGAAAACACAACTAAACTCACCAAGCTGTCTGCCCGTGGAGCAGGTGCTGAGTTCTGTTAGCTGTTTGCCAAACACACCGTCCAAACACACAACAAGTAAGCAAACTGTTTACCCCTCGACTGAGTCTCTGGCAGCAGAGAAGCAGATTGGGGTCAGAGAGGCACTCAGCTGTGTTATCACTCGTGGCCGCTATCGGCCAGGGGCCGGATAAGAGTAGTGAGTGAGGAGTCAGCAGGCAGTCAATGACGGTATAAAACACCGCTACCTTGAGACGTCCTTGAGCGTGCAGACGTAACAAAAATATCTGCTGCAGCAGAACGAGAGATTAGCCGTGGACAGACACAGAGGTGCACACTCACTCACTCAAGCACTCAAGCACTCAAAATGAGCACAGTACTGAGATCATGTAAGAAGCTCTGTTTTTGTTTTTTTCAAACTGGAGCTCTTCTACCAAACCGTAGTCGACACAAACAGTTCAGAGATATTAATCATGGGAGTTCTAACGGAGCCGATCAATAGAACTCCATCGATTCTCTTTTATCTGCTCCGGTGGTTTGTTGTTGTTTCCAGGAGTCGACGGGGAGCCGTCCAGGCAGCCATGTTGGAGTCTGGGGATCTGTGTTCTTCCTGCTCTGCTCGTCCTCTGCCTCGTCTTCATTGTTGGACTCTGCCTGCGCTCAGGTGTGTGTGTGTGTGTGTGTGTGTGTGTGTGTGTGTGTGTGTGTGTGTGTGTGTGGATTAC